GAGATGGCTGAGCAATTAGGAGCACTGGTTGCTCTTCCAGAGGACCCACGTTCAATCCCCAGCAACCACATGCCAGCTAACAACTGTGGTGATATATTGCGTACCCCAATAAAGCTTGCCAGAGGATCAGAAGACAGAGCCAGCTACTAGATTAGATATAGAGGCCAGACAGTGGTGGCACATACCCTTAATCCTATTACTTGGTGTGCATTTCTGTGAGTTCAAGGCCACACTGGAAACAGAGCCAGGCAGTGGTGGCACATGCCTTTAATCCCACACACCTTTAGTCCCAGTACTGAGAAGCACACATGCCTTTAATCCCAGGAAGTGACAGCAGGGCAGAGAAAGGTATATAAGGCGTGAGGAGACAGGAACTAAGGCAGTTCAGCTGAGACCCTTTCAGGTGAGGACTCAGAGGATTTCAGTCTGAGGAAAACAGGATCAGCTGAGGAGTTGGCGAGGTGAGGTTGGCTGTGGCTTGTTCTGCTTCTCTGATCTTTCAGCTTTCATCCTGATATCTGGCTCTGGGTTTTTTATTAAAAGACCATATAAGATTCAAACAACAACTGTCTATAATTCCAGTTCTAGGAATTCTGACACCCTCACACAGATATACATTCAGGCAAAACACCAATGCACGTAAAACAAAAATAAACTATTAAAAAAAATTTTGTCTATATAAAGTCCATTTAAATTTTTTCTGAATCTTGAAATGTATAATACAGGTAGAATATGAAATGTATGGGTAAATATTGGTAATTTTTATTTCTACATATGTGATAAATTTAGAGAAATTCAGAACATTTTTTGTTTGTCTCATGTATATTATTTATGATTGAGTTTCATATCTAAGCATCTTAATATTTTATTTAGCTCACATTTAAATCTTGTTTTCTAGATGAAGCATTGGATGATTTAAAATCCCAGAAGAAAAAGATTGTAAGTTAAATTTTATTTAATGTTAATTTATATAAATAAGTTAAGAACTGGATAATTAATGCTTATATATTATACCTTAGTGACTCTTCAAGGAACACTTTTGACAGTATTTTAATGTTGAAATTATTATGTTTTTTCTTTTTAGTTAATAGTAATACTCAGGAAAAAGTAGGTTAGGTGTGTGCACTTTTGAGATTCTGAGAACTTATGTTAATTGGAAGCTAAGAAATAAATAATTGAAGAACTAAATGAGGCAGAGAAGGTATAAAGGTGAGCCCCAAATGTAGGAAATGTATACTTGTATAAATTCTTAGGTTTCCTTAGTACTGAGAGAGAGAGAGAGAGAGAGAGAGAGAGGGAGGGAGGGAGGGAGGGAGGGA